ACTGGGATTGATATGTAAAATAAGATTGTTTTTAATTTAAATAAAAATGAATAATAATTTTGAAAGAGTGAAATAAATAGAGATGCCGGAGAGATGGCTGTCTGGGGAGGGGTATTTGCTGTATAAGCATGAGGACCTTGCTTGGAATCCTGGCACACAAATACAAAGCTGGTCGTGGCAGTGTTTGTCCACATCCCCGGTGCTCACTCGACACCTTCCTTCTGTTTCTGTTCACATGCGTGTGCACCTGTTCCTGCACACACACATGCAGATAACCCTCCCATGCGCGCGCGCGCGCGCACACACACACACACACACACACACACAGTGAACTGGAGTCCTGGGCACCAAATAGCTGAGACGCTCTAACCTGCCACACGAGAAAAGAAAGTTATAAATGTACACCAATTCTCTTGCAAACTTATTTAGGATGGGTACTGTTTTGGGATAAATTTCAATTTTTTTTCAGAAAATTTACTAATTTTGTTTGGTTTTCTTTGTTGGCACACTTAAAGAGCCCTATCTTAAACACACCAGTATTCTCAGTTTTAACCCCCCCCCAATCCTTCAGATAACAGATCAAATAGCATTTCCTCCGGGAACCCTTCAGATGGGAGGATCAGATTTCATTGTAAAAGCTCTATTAGCTCTTGCTTCTGTCATATGGCTTGCCAGAACAGCATGCAGACCATTGTCTATGTTCTCATGCTCAGCATTTTAACATGTGTGTTTCTGAGGCTGCTGCTGGAGAGTGCCACACTACTGGGAACATTGTACTGACCACTGCAGCCCAGTACCTAGAGAGGATCAGCCTCTCCTGAGCCAGGAGAGGCTTAAGGAATGTGACTACAAGTGCTCTGTCTGGGTAAATGCATTGGGTACATATTTATCTACAGGAACAGTGTTGTTTACGTCACTACTGTCATGCTCTCGCTCTCGGCCTGCCTACCTGCCTTCTTTCCTTGCTTCCCCATATGTTTACTGAGCAATTGCTGTTGGAAGAGACGGAGATACACAAAACAGTTTGCTTTTTGTAACACTCCAGTGGCAAGACACAGTGACACAGAGATCTCAGAGCTCTGTGGCACTGAGCTGGCCAGGGAGTGGGGGTTGTTCTCTTGGAGATGAGCTAGGTCAGCAGTGCCTAGATGGCTAATGGGAGCTGCAGGAGGTGGGATATAGGAGGAATATGCAGCAAAACACAGTGGCTATAAAAAGGAGACTGCACTGCAGAGGTTCTGGTAAGAGAGAAACGTGTCTCTAAAAGCCTGAGGCTCGGGGCATGCTGGAGACAGTTGGTCTTCTGAATGGCAAGCGTTTCTGTCTTTGTCTGAAAAGCAGTGGAACCCACATACGGAGTTTGAGGGGGAGTGATATGATTACATGTGCACTGACCTGTTACTGTAGGAAACAATGTCACAGCAGGGTTTTGTTAAGTTATTTTAGACCAGAAAAAAAAAAAAAAAAAAAAAAAAAAAGCCCTCAGCTCTAGATGGGAGCTCACTGCATTAATTTTGTATTGCCAAGAAAAATTCACGCAAGTGACTGGTATTAGATAGTTATTTCAAAGGCAGGAGAATAAGTAATGTCGTTGTAAGATATCAGTCAAATAGAAAGCCCATGGTTATGTGTACTGACTGACAGGAGTCAATATCCAGTGGCTCTCCAAGTGCACGCAGTACAGACTTAGCACCAGCAGATGGCGTAGGGCATTGCGTTACTGCCATACATATCAGGAGCAGGGATGAAGTTACTTCAGATCTCTGCTGAGTCGAGAGGAACAGCGTCCAGCTCCCAAACAGACTATTTATATTCCCTGCGTCATTCGACCTGGTCCAACTGTTTCAACTTGGATTTACTTTTTCCACTTACACAATACAATCTCTCCTTACTGATTTGTTTTGCTAGGATTACAACATCTAACGTGTTTCCATAGGTTCCCCACTCTTTGCAGTAGCAGATGCCGTGGCTTTGCACATGGAAAGGCTAACACAATACAAAATATATTTTCTTTTAATCCCCCCCCACACACAGAGGCTAAAGCTTCCTAACACAGAAACTGTACAGAGAAGCACCTGAAAATGTCATTTGTTTCAGAACACATTTTTCAATACTCTCCCAAATACCTAAATGCATGCTAACAAATACAGAGAAAGTTTTGCTTCCATATGAATGCAAGGTCATAAATCTTGGCTTCCGCCCAGCCCCAAGCTGTGCTTAGGAGTCAGGGCTGTCTACCGGGTATCTGGTTCACGTCACTGAAGCCTTGGGCTGGGACTCACGCCGGAGCTACCCACCTCCATTCTGCCTTGTTGTGCAAGAATGAGTTGCACTGGTCAGGAAGGTTTGTGTCATTTGACATAGACTCCAGGATTGAAATGATTTGCTTGAATGATGGCCGTTTCTGAAGAAGAGAAAAGGGAACCGCCATGAGACTTAAATGGCATGACAGGAAGCCACGACCAACAAAAACATGACAGATCACACAGGTGTAGGGAGCAATTAATTAGCCATAAGGATAGATATGTTGCTTTTTTTTTTTTTTCAACCACATGGCGTCAGGTTAGGATAATAAGTAAGGAGAGAGATACCAAGTCCTACTTTGAGATATGACCAAGAACGCCTATAAGGAATCCTAAACCATTAATGACCTTACTATGTGGTAAAGAGAGTAAAAACTAGACTATGCACTCCGAACATCCTGTTGTTTACTACACAAATGTTTCTATTTTTCCTCCCGGTTTTTATAAAGTGTGCATGGGCAGGCAGTATCTGCTTACCAACCTATGGCAACTAATAAAATTTTCCAAATGCATTGGTTTGAAAAAAAAATTAAAGCCACGATGACAACATTGTTCTTAAGGTTTATCCCACACTGAAGCCAGCTTTGGTCCAGAACACTGTAACACGCTGTAGGCAGCAACTGAAAAAAGCACACTCGGTCTGTCTCTAACAGGCACTGTCTACGCTCACCTCTTTCCACTCCAGCCAAGGCTGAGACAAAAGGTTAAAACAAAAATGGAGAAAGATAATAAAAGGATGATGCACATTCTCTCCTCATCATGCCTCATAATTACACCATTTCAGAACAAATTACAGCTACAGCAATTAAAACACGCGTTTTAATTTAGGAGCACAAAAACAGGAAGGAACAGTGTCGAGGTGGCTTGCTCTCAGGGCCTGGGTGCTTCTGACATCATTAACAAAAACACTTTCCCATAGTTCAGAAATAAAAAAACTAGGATATTTATTGACTTCTGTCTTCATTTGTTTTAAGGGCACACGCACGTGTGTGCATACACAAATGTGTGTGTGTGTGTGTGTGTGTGTGTGTGTGTATGTGTGAAAAAAGCATGTATAGTTAAATGTTACTGATGAACAAAGGAAAATGCTTTAAATGGGACACATGAAAAGAAGCCTGTGTTTTTAAACTTTGTTCCCATCTTCATGCCTCTCACCATGTGTCAGATTTTAAATGGAAAAAAGAAGCAGAACTTTGCACAAGAACTGATTATAAATAAACACAGGAAACATAAGATTTTCATTTTGCAAGTAAAGGAGCCACGGGAGGTAGTAATTCATTTTTTTTAACAAACAAAACAATAACAACAACAATCCTAGTCTCAGGGCTTTTAGGCTAGCCTCCAACTCTGTAGCTGAGGAGGACTCCAAACTGCCCATCTTCCTTCTACCTCCCAAATGCTGGGGTGTATAACACACCTAGTTTATACAGTGCAGGGGTTGAACCCAGGGCCTTGTGCAGACTAGGCAAGAATTCTACCAACTAAGCTACATTCCCAGCCCACCTAGTGAACTTTTAAAGACTTATTTTCCCCTACATTTAACTATTATTGAAATAAAATGAAATTCATTTATATTCAGATGACAAGCATTCCTTTAAAAGACTCTTACCATCACAGTTAGACTCTACTCTCTTACACCATCAGTACAAGAATTTAAGGTGTAGCTACAGCTGGCTGCAGTGGTACATTTCTGTAGTTCCAGCTATTTGGGAGGCTGAGGTGGGAGGATTACCAGAGCCCAGGAGTTCAACAATGTAAAATTCTGCAATGAAGGTTTTAGTGTGCTAGTTACAGAACACAGTGCTGTGCTAGGACCTGTGGCTGCTCCTCTGAAGGGCTTAGGTGCCTTTTAAGTGTCCTGTACAGATTGCTTATCTTAGGAAGAAGTCACGACCAGGGCTAAAAGCATCTTTACATCTTCCCTTCTATTTGCTATTTTCACTTAATACATAGGACAACTAGTTCAGAAAGGCATATATCACCTAGCATTACACACAAAGCTGGTCACAGAACCTGGTCTATGCTTTTAAACTTCAAATCCTTTATCTCAAAGAATATGATACCAACTCCTCCCTAGTTATCAGCTCCAGGGATGCCATTTTAAGACAAACCAACACTCATCTTTCTTTTCTTATTTTCATACACACATGATTTAATTATTGAGATAGGCTTTGAATATCCCAGGCTGGTCTTGGACTTACTACGTAGACTTCTAATCCTCTGCCTCGACTTACCCAGTGCTGGGATTATAGGCATGGCCAGCCACACTTGGTTTACACAGGGCTGGGGATTGAACCCAGGGCTTATTAGGTAAACACTCTACCAACTAAGTTACATTTCCAACTCCAATAAAATATTTCGAGCATATGATTTAGGCCACTAGGATGCTCTATCACTTTCACAATGCCACGTTTTTCCTATTTGTCTCTCTTCTTCACCACAGCCCTACAGGGAAGCTGCATAATGCAATCTAAGTGTTAATGCTTTAAAGTCTAAGGACTGAAAAAGGAGATAAAATACTTTAGCCAACTACTGCTCTTCATAAACTATAGAACAGCACCTACTTTGAGCCACAGAATGAAAATATATCTCTCAGAAAATTTACTGCAGTCTGGTTTCTGCATCCACTTTCTATTGCTGCAAAGTGCTATAGGAACTCTCTCTCTCTCTCTCTCTCTCTCTCTCTCTCTCTCTCTCTCTCTCTCTGTGTGTGTGTGTGTGTGTGTGTGTGTGTGTGTGTGTTCCTACATGCACACACACACATTCCCTCACAGAACATGCAATCCATTTAACAAGGAAGAATATCCCATACAAGCTAGGGCAGTAACCAGACTGATTCTGGGTCCAGACAAGGTTTAGCAGGGTGTCGGGGAAGACTCAGTGAAGTATTACTGGAGAAAATGCATCAGGGAGTGAAGCATGTGAGGCATGCTGCAGGTTAGCATGTGAGGTGTGCTGCAGGTTAGCATGTGAGGCGTGCTGCGCTTAGCATGTGAAGATTGAAGGATGAGCTGCAGCCACTGCCCATCAAATCAAATACAGTGGCCTGGAGTACCTTTATCAGAATAAAATGTCATGAACTTAGGAAGCAAAAATCAGTTTCAAACTTTCTTTATACTTCATGTGGCTAGAACACAAGATTCTTTTGGTTCAAAAGAAGGTTCATCTCCATATGTGTTAAAGACATGCCAGTTTTATAGGTATTACTCTGGACTTAAATTCTTTGTTGCATGAGAAGGTTATATTACAATTTATGTGTATATTCTTAGGATTTTTAACTAATATAGTACCAAGTTTTTGACTGAGAAATTAAATAATACAGAAGTATGATTACATGATTACAATTCTAGAGATCTGGTTGCATTAATCTAATTGAATGCAAATAATTTCAGGTGAAATTTCTAATTAAGCATGAGAGAGAGAAAAACATTACTAAAATTGTATATGTTTTAGCAGACACAAAAGCAGAGGGAATGTGTAACACTTAAACAGCACTTATTTGAAAATAAACTTGCAAACATCTGCTTATAGCTTAGCCTAATTAGTTGTAAAGTGTACATTTCTTTTAATGCTTAATGCTTAAAACCCTACATTCTGAAAAAAAAATCACACACTGGAAATAAGAGGGTCTAAACTGGGGGAAGGCACTCAACTTCTTGTAGTAGTAACAATCCAAATGACACATTCTTTAAGAAGAATAATACTAAGTTATATAGGACATCACTTGAATAGAGGCCGCAGGACATCTAGAGAGCTGGAGTAGAAGATGGAAGCTGCAGGATGCCAGGGCCGAGGCAGGATGCCCATGGCTGCAGAGCCCAGCACCTGAGTCTTCCCAGTATGGAAGCAAGGCGCATGGGCGGGAGGCTTCCCAACACAAGCTCTTGCTGCAGTGTCACTGTATTTTGCTCTTGGTGTGGGACAATGTGCCAGAAATATTCTGCACAAATCAACACAAATCTGTCCACATGGCCAGTTTGTCTCTAAGCCATTTCCACCCAAGAAACACATTGCCCAAGAACAGACTTTTGTAGTCTTCATTCATTAAAGGGTTCTCACTGGAAATGGGTGTATATTAAAGAAGAATTCTGTATTTTTTAGGTTTGTTTGTTATTTTTTAAGGCCTATATTTTTGAATCAGTTGTAATATTTCTATTTCCATGAAAAAAACACCAGACAAATTTGAATTATGAATTTTGTTTCTGTCTTAAATTTGGTCACTTGGTTGTTTTAATATTTAATCTGTGAGACTCATTTTAAGATTATAGCCTTTATTATGAAAATCTGAGCATACAAAACAATATGTCTCTACATTCTATGATTGAGCTTCCAAAGTTACCATTTCCAATCATGTTTAATTTGTATTGCTTTGACCGTCACTTTATTTTGAAGCAAATCTAAGACTAGCTATCAATTTATCCATAACTGTTTCCATATGTATCCATGAGTGATTTCATAAAGCTGACCTTTGTTGGGGAAAGGACACTGGCCATCCATGCTTACATGTGATAAATGCATGGATGCCTAGAATTGGAATTTCTTCCAATTTTATTGTAACAGCTCAAAAACACCGCTGGAAACTGCCCAGGGAGGACATACTGGGATTCTAGCAAAGTATAGCTTCTGCCTGCTCCTCCACTAGGCAGAAAGGCAATGGAGTAGAAGTTAAGAGCCATGATAGACTGTCTGAATTCACATCCAGCCCCACCAGTACAAGCCATGTGACCTTAACTTGTCATTTAACCTGCGTGTGCCTTGGCTCTCCATCTGTGAGCCAAGAGAGAGATCAGCTCCTATATCCAAGAGTTAATATAATCACAGCCTCACATATAGAAAGTACTGTGTTAGTTGTACTCACAAGGCACAATGGTCATGATTAAAAGCAAAAGAACAAAATTTCCTTCTGCTTCAAGAATTCAAAAGAGTGCTGTTAAAAGAAGGAAGAGTTGATAATAGTCACTTGATCTAGAGGTCTTAAGCTATGGAGATGTTACCATAGGGCTGTAGCAGGCATCCTGGGACTCACAGGCTTGGCAATCACTTTCACTGAGAAACACTTTGGGGTGAGCCAAGTTTTAAAAACTCAAAAGAGAACAGGTAAAATTTCAGAAGTTTGAACAATAACAAAAGTACCTTGGCATCAGCTTCCCAACACTGATGTAACAGCTCGGCAAAGCTCCTGGGGCAGCTGCTTGGAATGGTTAATCTCTACAGAGAGGAGGCAAACAGAAGACGAAACAAGACTTTACTCTTGGAGACAATGAAATGCCCTTTGAAGAATCATCAAACAGTTAATTTAGAAGCATAAACTAGACATGGAATTTGAGGCTTCCATGGATTAATACATGATGGGAGAATTCACACACAGATTTGTCCTATCAAATCTCCAAAGAATCCTGCTTTTCCACATGGAAATCACGGTAGATAGAAAGGTCAGGTTCATCATGACAAATGCAACAAAACAATCTCACCAAAAAGAAACTACAGCAGGAGAGGGGCAAGCTGGAACATAACGCTACATCTAACACCACAAATTTATTACTATGTTTTTATAGACAACTTGTGATTCCCGCATACCAGTCAGGTAACTAGGAAACAAGTTGAGTTTTGGCAATAGGTGTGAAGCTCTGAAAACATCTCTGGCACAGAAGAGCACTCTGCATTTTCGCACTGGTAATCCTGGTGGTGCCGTTCAGAATGCATGATGCATTATGGCTCTACCCTTGGTCACACCCGTGCTCGGAAATGGACTTAATACAAAACAAATTAGCTTGTGAGGTTCAATCCTACTCTTGCACCCTACAGTTCTGGTTCTCATAGACCATGACATGCCCCTATCCCCAGGAGGAATTTTTGTTTTGAAAGGCTTGAGGGGCCAGCCGGTAACTCAGTGACAGCAACAGAATGGCCTGGCACATATGGGGCATTGAGTTTGATCCTCCACACTATAAAAATAAATGATGACTAGACATCCCTTAATAAAGCATCATATAATCAAGAACTCTCTTGCAAGCCACCGAATTGCAAATGTTCCATGTGGTTTTATGTTAGCCTAGTAGACAAAATGAAGTTTATACTTTTCTGGACTTGGCATCTAACTGAGTTACAAATAAACAGAAAATATTTTTGAACAGTTTCCAAATACACCAGACTTCCCAAGAGTACAATGCCCACACACAAGAAATCCAAGGAGAGTGATTTTTTGCATTATTCATAACCTAACTACGATTTTAAGGACTGTCACCAACAACAGGGCAGGTCTTAAAACTAAGTCATTAACACAGCTCACCTCTATCAGGCTGTATTTGCAGCCACTCAGTGCCATTTATCCACAGGGCTAAGCACCTTAAATGGCCTCATCATCTTGCCTCGAGAAGTCTTGCCTGAGCATGTATACTGTAGTGTTTGCATGTATTCTTCACAGTACAGGGTTATACTGACTTGAAGCATGATGCATGTGGGTGAGCTCAGGTTTTCTGGCTTTCTTTTCAGCAGAGCAAGAGCTGTGGTTAGGAAGAGAGCACTGGGGTTGGAGATACATCAGTGGCCGAGCAACAGGCACTCAGCAAGTCATGGGCTGCATCCCCAGTGCAGATGTGTGTGTGTGTGTGTGTGTGTGTGTGTGTGTGTGTGTGTCTCGGGTGGTGGGGGAGGCTGGATGTGATGGAGTGGAGAACTGTGCAGCTGTAAAGAACTGTCTGCCAAAGAAATTTTACAAATAGAAAATTTAAAACTGAATTTGGGTGAAGCTATGCATAGAACTAGGAAAATAAAACTGATAGTCTTCATTTGGAATTACAACCAATTTTCACATCAAAATGAAGTTAACAAAATAGAGCAATTCTCGCCAAATCAAGGCTATGTCAAGCCATTCAAACTTCTAGTCTTTTGACCTCACCAAACACAATATGTTTCAATTGTTATTTAACTATATTGTGAACTGCACATTTTTGACAGAGATCTGTAGGAAAATCAGTTGTTTCCTTAAAAAAAAAAGAAGGTTGGAAGGTAGGAATGAATAAAGACCTACACTACAGCTGCATATATGCACCTGTGTGTATTTTGTGCAAATAAACAAAGTGGGTTTCAGGTGGACACACTTTAGCATAGCCTGACCTCAGTGGTTACCAATGAAGTGAATGTCAACTTGCTGGGTTTGGGTTTCCTTTTGTCCTCTTTTCTTACTGGAAATCCTTTTTAGACACAGCACTTCAAGCATCACACAAAGAAAAAGTAATTTTTAGTATCTAATACTGTCAGGTATTAGCTAATCACAGCTCAGACACTTTTATGTAAGGGATTTCTTTGGTGTATTAAAAAATACCTTAAAATAGAACCTGAAGTGTTTGTATCCCAATTACACAATTTTAATGCATTCTTAACGATTCCAAACATCATGAAATGGCCAGATTTTTGTACTATATGGTAGCATTCCTTACAACTTATATGTTCTAGAATAAAGGTTTCACATTTAAAAGTAGAATATCTCCCAATAACTAAATTAGGAGGATATTTTAAAAAATATTTTTGCATCATTTAATACAAAAGATGTGAAAATATTTAAGTTCTTATCTTTCTAAAGTTGTAGAGCAGATCAATTATTGTTTTTTTTGTTTTTGTTTTTGTTTTTTTTTGAGACATGGTTTCTCTGTGGCTTATGGAGGTTGTTCTGGAACTAGCTCTTGTAGACCAGGCTGGTCTCGAACTCACAGAGATCCGCCTGCCTCTGCTTCCCGAGTGCTGGGATTAAAGGCTTGCGCCACCAACGCCCAGCTTGAGTAGATCAATTATTAAGTTTAAAAAATTTTGCACATAAAATACATTTTAAAATTAATTAGCTGATTTAGTGTGTGTGTGTGTGTGTGTGTGTGTGTGTGTGTGTGTGTGTGTGTGTGTGAACACACACCGGTGCTATGGTGTGAAGGTGGAGGTGGTTAGACAATACGAGGAAGTAGGTTCTCTCTTACCATGTGGGTCTCTCAAAATGAACTCAGGCTGTCAGGCTTGATAACAAGTACCTTTGCCTGCTGAGCCATTTCACTCATCCTGATTAAATTTTAAGTTGTATGAAGATTTTTTAATGACAATATGCTATTTACAACAAAACACATTTTATGTAAGAATCATGTGTTTATAAAAGTAGAAAGTATACTCTAAAACATTCTGAAGGCCCACTGATCTTCATGGAAATAAAAATCAAATACATGTATCTCTTATATTAAAAACAGTTTTCCATAATGCCCTCTTTAGCTCATGCCTTCTGTAAGGTTCACTCATCACTTGGCAAAGTGTAGTAAGGGTTTTTGAATCTATTTTTAATAAAAGTTAATGTCAGAAAAAAATCAATCAAAAGCCTTATTTCATAAGTTAGCAGCAAAGATCCTCAGATATAATGTTAGAGAGCATGTTTTCCTATAAATCAGTTGAGCGTGCTCTCTGTGGAGGAGAGATTACAGAAGGACTCCCACCTAGAGTGCTGTCCCAATCCTAACTGCCCCTCTCGGATGCTACTGCGGCTATATAAGGTATTAGCAGTGGAAAAGCTGGGTACACAGGATTCTCTGTAATATTTTTACAGACTCTTAGGAGTCCATAATTATTTCAAAATAAAAAGCATTAAAAAAAACAACCCTACTAATTGGATATAGATGCTACAGAATGACTAGATAGGTCACATTAACAATCTCTCCTTGGCTATTTAAACACATCATTCTTATTTAATAAAGACATGAAAATATGGAAACTTTTCTCCAACCCAATAACCAAAAGTATTCAACAGTAAAGATAAATAAAATATTTCGAGTCCAAGAGGTTTTACGAGTTACATTTCTTGAAGTCTCGGTTTTGTTATTAAGTGAACTTAAACTCTGGGAATTGTCTTAACACTATGTGAGCAGAATTTGTTTGAAAAGCCAGTGCCTCTTATGTGGTAGAATGCAGACACCTTGAATGGTAACACTGGAAATCCCATCTAGGCTTAATTTCCACATTTTTTTTTTTTTTGACAAATAAGTACTGTGTAAAATGGGAACAGCAGATAATTATCCTTAATTCAACCAGCTTTACTTCAATTCATTGACAAGCTGAGAGATCTTATGTCACCATGTGGATTCTCTCAACTTCCTACTTCATTTAATGAACCATTCGGGAAGTCTCTGAGCCGTCTCCATCAGCTATGACCCACTCACTGCAGCACACCACATATGTCCCATGGGATCTGTAGGGGACAGAAGGAAATGGCTTCCTTGTGTGATGCTACAGAGTTCTGAGGAGTGTAGGTGGGAGCTTCCCAACCCTCAGGCAGGCCAAAGTCGCCATTCTCTTCAGCTTTAAATACCCAATGCTTTGGAAATGCATTGGGCTGAGCCTATTCTGCCTTTTTCTAGACAAAAAAAAAAAAAAGAAAAGAAAAGAAAAGAAAAGAAAAAAAAAACTATTGCAAAAAATAATTGCAAAATACTAATTGTCCTGTCAACTTTGGAGGATCTGGGTGGCTTTCTAAACCCTTTCTTAATCTATCCTGTGTAGTGTAGAGATTGCTTCCGGGTCAGCTGAATTGAAGGTCAATGCTCTCTTCACTTGGATTCGTCAAACCTAAACTAAAACACTCAACCATCTCTCTGGCAAAAGAGACAGAACAGAAGCAGTGGGCCTCATGTCCCAAAAGATTAGTTATCCTGTGTGAGGTCTTACTGAATAGTCTGTGGGAAATGACTATCATCTAATTAAAACCAAACAGCTCTTGGGAAGCAATGAGTGAGCCCTGGTATTGCATGGAAGTCCTTTTCATCTCTTATGCTGGCAGCCCTCTCCCATCAAACTCAGCCACCACAATGTGCCACCCCTTCCCAGTGAGTCAGGAGGACAAATTAGTCAGGTGGCTCTGGTTCCATGGGATCCAGGAGACAGCATCTTGGTTTCCCCTAGTCACCTGGCTTGTTCTGTATTCACAGGGGGTGCAGATCAATCCAATTCTGTTAAAGTGCTAAAATGGCCTATCTTTATATATTCTTATGGAGAATATTTCACTTTAAGGTCTCCCTCGGCCTTTGTACACAGATATGGAAATGAAGATGCCCCGGGAAATAAGTTGTTTTGCCTCGAAAGCACAAGCATGTACATCCACCATGCCATCTAAGTTCTCCTAATGCCGTGGTATTGGATGCCTCGTCCTTATGCTGAGAGATTTCCATGGCTGTGCGTTTCAGTGACAATTTGAAACCTTTCAGAATGTAGTTGCTCTCTTTGATATGGATGTGTCATGTTCTCTGATGTAGGCTCATAGGTCCAACTAGCTGAAAGCCTCAATTTGTGGGGAGAAGAAAAGCGAGGCTGGGGACACAGCACAAACGGTGTTTACGCCACTGAAGTCCCTTTGAAATGGAACGACTCTGCATGAAGAAGCCAGCACTTCATGCCACTGCCTCGCCAATTCCAGTGAGGAGCTCATCTTCAATGTAGTGCTCAACGTAGGTGGCAAAACTGTAATTTTTCCCCTTTTTGAAACTATTTTTTCTTCTTTTATTTTTGAAATTCTCATCTAAGCGACAGTTTCTTGTACTATAGTGACTCCTGCTGGGAGAGGTAAGTTGAAGTAGCTGAAGGTCTCTTACAGATATATCAACTCCCGGCCAGTAAAAAAGATGTCCTAAACGCAGGAGATGCAGTTAAACTGTTCCCCTACCTTGGACGCAATGGCTTCTTTCATCACTAAGAACAAACCCCTAGGTTTTACAATTGAGACTGAGAAACTAGTACAGTACTTGTACAATTTTTGATCTACAGCATCACGACGTGAAGCTGCAACAATTAGATGTAAAGGGTCCATTCATGAGGAATAACATCACTTTGACCCTTTGTGTTAGCTCCTACTGCTAATCTTTCCATAAGCGTGAACTTACTTTCAATTTGAAGAAGATGAAAAAGTCTTTTGCAAAACCCCAATACTGTTTTCTGATCTATGCACCTGAATGGAGAAACGGAGTCTTACCTCGTTTTTTTCCACTACAAGCCAAGCTACTTGTAATCCTTCCAAACCTTTAAAGGGGACCTCCCTTGTTAGCATCTCCCAGAGAACCTATAACAAAAAGAAAATGGAATTTTTATTCTGGTACTTTATATTGGTATATTACTGAAAACGTAGCTAGCATTTAATTGTATCCAATTACTAGGCGTAGCCAACCATCTGTAGAAACTTAGACTATGTATGTATGTATTCATACATAGGACTTCTACCATATGTTATATACCTTCATGTTCTTTGTATATAAAGAAAAAACTTGTTTTAGGAATTGAAGTGTCTACACTTGAAATTTTATATTAGTGATTAAACTTGATCTTTTGACTCACTGGGATGTTCACATATTCCCACAAACTAGGCTTTGTATTTTGTAAGAGAGCAGTGGTGCTGCCTTGAATCTCAGATACATTTTTTATTAGATAGTAACCAGAATTCAACACAGTTTTTAAAGGTTCAATAATGTCCACATTAAAAAAAAAAACACAAAGTCCACAATTCATATCACTAGCAAACCCATCTGCCCCATACTGGTAGATATCTGTAAAATTATAACATTTAGATTTTGTGATTTGGACAAATTTCCCACAGAATGAGTCAGTCTAAGGGGTCCATTCCTACATACATATATTATGCCATATTCTAAAGTGTAACATTTAATACACATATGAACTGACTGTGTGCATGAGCGAATATGTGCACCCAACTGTGTAAAACTCAAGGAAGTGCAGTAACGAACATCAACCCAAACACTAAGGAAAGCAAACTAGTGTTAGGATGGAGATTTAGGCTCCTCTTTAAACACTGAGCAATGGGAATTTGAACACCCAGTTGCTGTCTCTTTTTATTAAAATAAGCACCCAAAAAATTTTTTTGAGACAGAGTTTGGCTATGTAACTCAGGCTAGCCTTGAATTCATGATCTTCCTGCCTCAGCCTTCCAAGAGCTAGAATTAAAGGCATGCGTCGCCATGCCAGCCTGAAACCTCAAAGTTTAGTCTACTAGTACTTTGCAAAGCACAAAAGCAATTCTGAGTTTGCTAATAATCATAATATGACAACCACTATAATTTATTGAGTGCCTAATATGCTCCAAATTCCCATTACAGGTTTCACCTTGATCATTGTCAAGCCTCAGATATCACCCTCACTTTATGGATGAGGAAATGGGTGTCTAGGAAAGTCAGATAAACTTGCCTACAGACAGACGCTCAGCCACCAACTGGGACAGTGGGGACACACTGCTTTCTTACTTGGAGGCTGTGCTCTAATCCCACATAATTCTAGGACTGGGGTAGCTCCAGTGCAGGAGAGGACACACAGGCTCTGCTGTAGGTGCTGAGGGAGCCAAGGCAGACTTGGGCGACAACTCTGCAAGGTATGTTAGCTCTCCCTTGCTGCAAACTCAAAAGCCCATTTCTACATAGGAGTTGAGATGGAAAGCATGACTCTATTTGAGTAATCCGGTAAGCCTTTAACTGTATAGTCATTATATCCTCAGCCAGCTTGCTGTCTTGTTCAAGCTATAACATGTTAAACAAATGCTGGCTAATACGAAGACCATTAGCAAGAAAATCAGGGAAACTGGCAGATGCTCCTCAAGCATGAGGGGGAAAAAAAAACCCCAAAACCCAGAAGCCTCTTTGGGTTTTTAATCAAGTGTGTAAGGTACTTCTTCAGAAGAGCTACTGGATAATTTCATTTGAGTCTCATAAGTGATTAGGAAAAGGTAAGGGGGCATTCCAGAAGGGGACAAGTCTAGTGCTGGCTGTAAGTGAGGGAGGGTAAGATTCAGAACAGGTATGTAGTTACCCTGCCTCTGTTACCACACTCTGTTGGTACTGGGGACAGAGGGGGAAAGGAGGCAAAGAGTGGGAAAACTGATCAATTTGGCATTGCTAAGGAAATTGGAAAAAAGAGGTAGCTTCAAAGACATCAAATGCTCCAGACCCACAAACACTCAGGTGAACAATTCAAGTCTCCCCTTTTCATGGCCACCCTCCCCAGTAACAAAGGTTACCCTCCTAGGAGCTTCCAGTCAAAGCCAGCTTGGACAGCACTAGCTTAAGAGGCAGTCTCTATGACTTGTCTGGAGCCCTGTTCCAGAACCAGCTGGGCTCAGGTAATGGCTTTCTATTGTTTGTGAGTGAAAAGGCAGAAACACACAGTCTCATCAACACATACTCACACATGTGTGTATGCCCACATTTGGAATCTGCCTGGGTTCAACAGAGTAACATGCAGCCCCTCTAAAAGTCTGAGACAATAACACCAGAAAGCCACCTCTTCTTCATTTTTTTAATACCTAAATACTTGCCTGGAAAATATCAAAATTCTAATAAGAGCCATAACCATGAAACATCTGGAGAGTGTCGCTCCGTCTGTGACTCTTGAAAGCCAAGGGAGGTGCTTACAGGACTCAAAACTGTGGAGAGGTGCTCACCGCCAGAAGCCTCAAGCTCTGGAACCCACACAGGTCTTCTATTTGGTTCCAGTGTCAGCACCTCCCATGATTTCCCTTTATTAATTCCTCAGACTTGGGAATAGACCCAAATGAAAGCAGAACGAACTTGGATAGCGTTTCTCTACATTCAATAAGAATGACATTTGGCACACAAAAAAGTAAGTTTGTTGAGGAAGTCACTCGGAGGTCTAAAAATACATTAAGCCAATGCCTTAAAATACCAGTTCTGAGGATGCAGGCCAAACTGCTGTGATCTTTCACCTTAAAAATATTTTCCAACTCATTGTATATTGAGACGTCCTCCCAGTTAAACTGCACTCACTAGGGAAATTTCTATTTTCAGTTTACAGAACAGAAACTTGGATGAGACTGTGTGTTTCTGTCTTTTCTCTCACAAACAATGGGAAGCCATTACCTGAGCTCTGGCTGGTTCTGGAACAGGGTTCTAGATGAGTTGCAGAGGCTGCCTCTTAAGCTAGCACAGTCCAACCTGGCTTTGGCTGGAAGTTCCTAGGAGGGTAACCCTTGTCACTGGGGAGGGTGACAGGTGTGTGTTCTCCTAGGCTGTCCTTCCAGTCATCTGTGCTCTTCTTTTTAGCAGATCATATACTAAACACGCTCCCCATCATCCAGGAGACATTATCCTGGGAGTGCACAACTACTCCCTTCTTGTAAAACGGAGAAAGGACAATAGCCCACCTAGCACTGCTTGGAAATACAAAGTTTCTCTAAAGGCAGTGCAAGGCTACTTATTCTTGTCATGAGCTAAGAAGCAAACCAAGATTATCAATCCAAGAAAGGCAAAAAGCAAAAGCATGTCTTTTTTTTTTTTTTTTTTTCCTGGATGACTTTCAAAAACCCACTTTTTGATGGCCATGTTCCTCATGAACTATGGGATGTTTTATGTTAGAACGATGCTCCTTTTGAAGGGACATCATAATTCTGCATAAAATACATATAGTTTTTTTTTTAGGTTGATGCTATTTTTGAATTTCGAGGGTCACAAACTCCTATGCCTGATATAGCCTCAATTGGAACAACTACCCTCTCTCTCTTTCTGGTGTCCAACCCACTGGGAACTCACAATGGTTTTTCGTGTTTGTTTGTTTGTTTAAAACAGAGGTTCTGGACAGAAGCCTTGGCTTTTCCTGTTCACTGATGATGCTTATTTAAAATGAACAGAAAGAGAAGGGACAGTGTTAAATGTAACCCTGAATGCTTATCGTTGAATTTAGCACATTCGACTTCCCTGGACTTCTTCCATCAGAGTTCTCAGCCAAACCTCACTTAAAGAGAAACTAAGATCAGAAGACGGTTTAATCTTTACTTATTGCATGCCATGTGGGGGTCAGATGCCAACTGGTGAGATTCTGTTTTCTCTTACCATGTAGGTTCTCCTAGGCATTAAACTCAGGTCCTCAGCCTTGCCAGCAAACACCTTTGCTAAATGAAGCCATTCCCAGGCCCAGATGCTGGCTTTGTTGTTGTTTTGAGATTTACATTTATTTTATATTATGTTTGCCTGAAGGTATGTCTGTGCATGACATGTGTGCAGTGCCTGCAGAGGTCAGAAGAGAGCATCGGGTGCCCTGGGACTGGAGTTAGACAGTTGTCAACCCCCACGTGGGTGCTGGGAACTGAACTGAGGTCCTCTGAAGGAGAAGCCATCTCTTCAGCCCCCTAAAAGCTATTTTTAAAGAGCTATGGAAACATTTCTGCTTCTGCAACTCAAGGACAGGAAGGCTCTTGCATGGATTTGGAATTGAGACTGACACAGTCAGGGGACTGGACAGTAGGGTTCTAAGCTACAGCTGGTGTGTGGTGGAGTGTAATCCTGGCAGTGTGGACATGTTTTAGGAAATGGTCTGTTAAGTTCCTGTTAAGTCCCTTCCCCAGTCGGCAGGATGGCCCATGTCTTTATACCAGAAGTTAGGTGACAGGCAGATCTCTGTGAGTTCCAGGCCACCCTAGCCTACATAGGAAATTCCGGGTCAGCCAGAACTGCATAGTGAGCCCTTGACTTAATAACGAATGAGCAAAACCATCTTTCCCCCAAGAAAGCTATATCAAGGCAAGCAAAGGTAGGGGTGGTACACATGTACCTTCTCTCCAAAGTGGCTCACCCATCTCAGGGGTGAGAGGTTTTTATAAACAAATGGGAAACCTCCAGCTCCAGGAAGATGCTTAAGGAAGTGATCAGTAAGGACTGCCAAGGGGATTTAAAGACACAGGAGAGTCCTTAGCTTGGTATCAGAAGTCATAGCTCAGCAGCTATGGTTTCCAGGGGAAAAGGCATTGATTCTCAGCTACAGGTACCAAGAGGGCACAGTCTTAAAGAAAGGCAGACTGGTTGGTACATTTCACACAGATTCCAGGCATCTGGAAACTTTCGGAAGAAAGTAACACAATTTATTTTCATAAATGCAATAATATTGAAACTAGAGGTTCATTCGACACATAACTCATAGTTGTGACTTAAGGTCAAACATTTTTAATAGGGAAACTCCAAGACTTGGGGAGAATTGTCAAAGTAAATATAATACATGGGCTGTTGGAATAGAAAATAAGCCTCAAACCTCATCTGATTAACAAAACTGTGCAAGCAAATTTAAAACCATGGGTACCTAAATATGGGTCTCTATTTTTATATACACCTGTGTGTGTAAGGAGAGTTGGCTTCCTGCTCAGTCACATGATCAGCTGGACCATGGCCAAATGACCAAAGTGCTTCAGCCACTCTGATGTCTTCCCAAATCCCCTTGCTCCATAGATGGTCTACAGAGTCTGGGCTGCCTTGAAGCAAAGAAAACAAAAAACCAAAAATCCAAAAAACCAAAAACAAAAAACAAAACCAAAAAAAAAAAAACCAAAAAAAAAAAAACAAACAAAACCGATTCTGTCATGTTTAAGGAGCTGTGAAGCAGCCTCAGCTGCCAGAGGGTAAGTAGTCTGCAAAGTCGAAGCCATGGCTGCCTGGTCCCTTATAGAGAAAGCACACTGGCTTCTGTTCATTGGCATGAAATGAGGCATGTAAAATGTAAATCAGCCTATGCTGATGTCCAGCCCAGAGACTAACTCAATGAGCAATCATATTTTCCAAAGTAAAGGGATGTAACTTGGTAAGAGAAAACAACTTCACACAAGGCTTAATGCTTTTCCTTCTGTAGTGCTGAGAACTGAACCCAGGACCCTGTACAAGCCAGACAAGTGTTCCACAACTCAGCTAAGTCCTAGCACAACAAGCCTTAAATTGTACAGAGTTCCAGTTCCAGAATTTCCAGATGAGTGTGTGACAATTACACTGTAGTAACTCCTGACACAGAAAGCAGAAGCTGCTGTCCTCTGGAACTATTATCCCATGTCTCCCCCTTCTATCAGTGAGAAATATTTCTTTGCTTTCAGTAGTAATGTGGTTCTCATTCTTAGAAACACTCAGAATTAAGGTGCATCAGATATTTAAAGTGGATACTACTGTCAGCCTTTAACCTTTAAAACCCTAGACTTGATGGGCCTGGTGGTGTATGCCTTTAGTATCAGTACTTGGGAGGCAGAGGCAGGCAGATCTCTGTGAGTTCAAGGTCAGTCTGGTCTACAAAGTGAATTCCAGGACATCCAGGGTTGATACACAGAGAAACCTTGTCTTAAAAAACAAAACAAAACCCCTAGACTTTAGCCTGAAATACATAATCTATTCTTGGGATTTTTTTCAATAGCCAACAAAATTTAGCTGTGTATAAGAGGTTCATGATTTAGGAAGCACTAGACAACCAGAGAATCCCCACACACTAGGAAGCCAGTGGACTATAAGGGAAAGGGGCATGCCTGACATGTGGCCCTTCTCTGGCCATTACCTCCCACCCCAAGAAAAAGGGTGTACTGAGGGAGCCCAAGCTGTTTCTTACAATGAAAGTGTCCTTTTGCACGGTAATGTGTAAATGGGGAAATGGTATACATGACCTAGACTGAGATGAGACCTAGAGACACTGCATCCTCAAAAAAAAAAGGATATACAACACTTTAGGGAAAAACACCTTCAAAAGGGGGGGGGGCAGAAAGAAATCCTTCCTGCAGCAGGAGCTACCCTACCCGAAGCTTCTTCCTCCCAAAGGATCCTCATCTGGTTCCTCCCCACCCCCCATTCTACCTAACCTCGTTCCTCCTACTCTTGTCATTCTCAAGTAACAACTTCAACACTTGTTTCTGTAGGACTTGCAGCAGACCTGAGCAAGGTTATCTGGTCTAACTATATGCTCTTTTGTAGTTTTGGAAATACGCAAGTTGGCAGCTATTGGTGATCGCAAGCCATGTGAGCAGCCTATTACAATTAATTGTATTCCAAGACACCGGAAGTATCAGTGAATTACACAGCTATTCTACTACAGTCCTATTTCCACCCTGCACAGCAGCATTCATGGTGGGGGGTGGGGTAGAGGGTGGAGTGGAGGGTGGGGTGGAGGGAGACCCAGCACTGATCAGGTTCTGTGAAGTAGTGATGGTTCTTCTCAATTCAGGGCATAAGTGATCAAAGCACACATTGTGACAGCTAGAAAGCTCTGTCCCTATGATGATCCTCCTGTGTCAGACACAAGCAAGTGGCCCCACTCTTCTCTAGGATTTTTGCCTTTCCTATGTCCCTTGGTAAGCAAGAAATGAGAGGCGCACTCACCACACCATAGGAATACGTGTCACAGGTTTCAGACACAGGGAGACTCTGGATAACTTCTGGAGCCATCCATGGGAAAGTTCCAACCAAGGACATGTGTGTTGTGTGGTTGTGGAACCGAGAGGCACCGAAGTCACAGATCTGAGGACACAGGAACCAACATCAGCTTGCTACCCAGCACTGATGAGAGATTGTCAGTCATAAGACCACTCTCAGAAATCTCTCCAAATGAAAAGAACAGCCTTACCTTCAGTACTCCATCAGCAGCAATAACGACTGAAAGAGAACAGAGAGAAACTATGATAATCATTTGTGTTTGAAATGTCTTACATTGAAGAAAGGCACGGATTCATATTTCTAATTTTGATATCACTACATTTCTAACTTCACAGCATAAGCTGGGCATGGTGGTGTGCGTCCATAATCCCAGGCTGAGACAGGAGAGCTACCACGAGTTTGAGGCCAGCCTGGGCTATATAGCAAGAACCAAACCTGTCAGAGATATATAAGAAGACCCTGTTATACACACACACACACACACACACACACACACACACACACACACACACACACACACAGAGAGAGAGAGAGAGAGAGAGAGAGAGAGAGAGAGAGAGAGAGAGAGAGAGAGAGAGAGAGGCAGAGAAAGACAGAGTGAGAAACACAATTTTATATTATAAAAGGTAAATGAAAATATTTTATGAATTTGAGAGTTGGTATAGGGAGATAACATTTTTTTTTTTTTTGGTTTTCCGAGACAGGGTTTTCTCTGTGTAGTTTTGGAGCCTATCCTGGCACTGGGTCTGGAGACCAGGCTGGCCTCGAACTCACAGAGATCCGCCTGCCTCTGCCTCCCGAGTGCTGGTATTAAAGGCATGCGCCACCAATGCCCGGCTGGGAGATAACATTTTTAAAAAGCTTGATTTCATGAGGTGCTGCTCCAAATGCCTTAAAAAAAAAACAAAAACAAAAACAAAACTTTATTTAACTTTATGTGCATTAGTGTAAGGATACAGATCCCCTGGATCTGGAGTTACAGGTGTGAGCTGCCATGTGGTTGATGGGAATAGAACCCAGGTCCTCTGACAGAGCAGTCACTGCTCTTAACCACTGAGCCATCTCTCCAGCTCTTCTCCAAAAAGCTTTTTAAGATACTTGTTCATACAAATTCAGTGAGGGAAACAAGAGTAACTGGTACTGCACCATGAAAGGGAATGCAGGAATGCCTTTTTAAGGCAGATGGGGTAAGTTTGAACACAATACATTGTAAGCTCATGTAAAATATCTATGCAAGTATTTCTAATAAACAGTTTCAAAGCTGACATCAGCTTGGGAGTGTTGAAATAGAAGTAGGGCTGTCATGAGAGTGGGAAGACAAGAGTGGAGCTTGAGGATTGAAGCATCGATAGGGTTTCTGGCATTTATTTAATAAGCCACTCAGTGCCTTGAGCATGGTAGCTCATCAATACAGCAGCTGTTCCTAGTGACTCTGGTAGCTGGAGAAAACATTCTGTGTGATCTAATACATAAAAACAGCCTCAAAGTAAATGCGAGGTTGGGAGGAATGAGATGCATAGTTTTTCAAATAAAAATGCAAGTAAATATTACTATTATATTAGATTGTTCTTAAAATATCTCCCTATTCCCCTTAATGTAAGATTAGCAAGTGCTCATTGAAAAAACATTATAAAAATTCTCACTATGGGGGCTGGACAGATGGCTCAGTGGGGATAAAAGCACTTGTCATGAAACCGTGGTGACCTGACTTGAACTCCAGAGACCCATTTAAAGGTGGAAGGAAAGAACCGACTCCACACAGTTGTCCTCTGCCTTTCAAAAGCACACCATAGCATGTGCATGCTCACAAATATGCACCAGACACATATACACGCTAATAACATGTTTTGACTTTTATTACATTTATTTTCTTATTTTGTGTGTGGGTGCCTATAGGCCATGGTAAGCACATGGAGGTCAGAGAATAACTTGTGGGAGTCAGTCCTCTCCTTCTAAAGTGTGATATCTAGGAATTGAACTCAGGTTGTCAGACTCGGTGGCAAGTGCCTTTACCCACTGAGCCACCTTGCTAGCCCATAACTTAAATTTTCAAAAAAAAACTACAGAAAATGAAGTCTCACTCCTTTTCCCCTAAAAAAATAAATTGCCAAAATTAGGCTTGTATTCTTTTCATGTTAATGTTTCCTATTACCTGCATACCTTGTAATTTAAAAAAAAAAATGAGGAATTTGCCATTGTTGTACAGCCTTCATGCTAACTAAGTACATGGGTTTAAGAAAATCAAATAACTTGTTTATATTGAGATTAATAGCATGGACTGAAATTTTGGTCATAAAAGCCTGCTACTTCCTACCTGGTTAGAGAAAATTTTCTAATGACCTCCTGTTCGACAGCTCTATATCATAAGTATGTCTGTTTCAGAACCAAAGAGTAAGTGATAACAGACAGGGTGTGACAGTCAGGCAAGACAGCTGATCAGGTAAGGAGGGGCCAGCCTGGATTCTTGATGGTGGCAGCTGCCTACAACTTCCTGCCCTTCCTGCTTGGTTAACACCTGCCAGACCTTAGCCTAGAGGTCCCGAGTGTGAGCAGCGCACCCCGGCTCCTCTTGCCCCTTGCTGTCATCATCCATTCTAAGGATCACACTGTTGGTAAATTCCCATTTTAGCTGCAGTGATCTTAAATTTCTAAAAATAAATGTTTCTCCTCCCTACCGAGAGCCGCTGGAAAGTGTGGAAATAACCAATAGCAAGGGCTGCTTTCTGTCTTCTTCTCTTAAGTAGCAAACTCGGATGCTTACTTAGCTCCAAAGCTAAACAGTCCTACTTACTGCCTTTCTGAAAACTCTGAAGTGACGTAATGGAAGAAGGTAGAGTCTAATCCTGGGAGCTATTTTAAGACGATCACTTTCCAAAGGATAAATATAGGCTCATAAAGTATAGACAGCCCAGAAAAGAAAAAAGGAAAAAGGAATGCTTTTACGTTCTAAACCCTCAACCATGCTGGTTATCTTTGGGCACTACTCCAGGTAATATGGGCATGAGTGACCAAAAGATGTATACCATGTAATTCAGAAATAAAACTCAAAATTGCTGCCAGAGGGAAGCATCTAAAAATAGGAGACTTAAAATACATGACTACACACTTTGACCTGTGATGCCCATTTTAGAAAAGGATCCTAAGGAAATAATTAGAGATGTGTTAAAAAAAACTTGGCCAAAAGACTAAACTAAACATTTCTTATCTTAGAAAAAAACAAAAAACATAAGCAATGCAGTTGTCTCCATCCTGTGTTAGACTCACACAGTAGAACACTAGGCAACTAATAACATACAGATTTTGATATTTATTGAGAGTGACAATGTTTTCACAGTAGAGTGTGGACCAACAACGATTCATGTAAGGCACCATGCTGGTTTTATGAGCAGGTGAACTGTAGTAAAATAGTAAGATCAAAAGGTATAACCACCTACCATTTCTTGACTTGAGATCTCTGTGGATCACCTTGACCGGAGCCTCCATGTGTAAGTAGTGCATCCCTTTTGTACAAGAGGGAAAGAGGATTAAAGGTTTGCAATATTGCATCAGTATGCACACTCACAACTTTGCAAAGAAATCCATAGCAGAAAATAAGTTCATGTACTCTGCTCTTCCATGCTCCATAAAGGAAAAAATAACATTAGTAATATTCTCTCTAGTAAAGCCAATGCAGAACTTTACTGTGGATAATCTCATTCCTTACAGTACCTAAGAAAGATGCCATAATTTTCTCAGATCTGCATGAAAACAGTGCAGCAAAATGACCCAAATGGCTCCTGAGCATCCCACTACCGAGTACATGCTATGTCTTCCCGAGCTTAGGCTCCTCATCTCTCCCCTGGACATCTGCAGTCACTTGCTACAGCAGCCTTACTTTTCTCCAAGACCCAAGAGTGAAGGCAGATGGAATGGGCAGCAGGCCCACTGGTGCGTAAGGATCTTGTGGTCTTCTAATAAATGCATAATGCTTACAAAATATTTTTCTTCCCACAAGAATAAATCTTCAAATTCACTCTCCTACTTATAATATGAATTAAGGTACTCTACATACTGGGTGAATCAAATACCAATAATTTTATTATTTTGAATGAGAAATTACACTTTAAGATATATTTCATGGTTATTCCCTTAAAAGTGTTTTGTCTTTGTTGTTGTTGTTGTTGTTTTAAGCAAAAACAGAGAATATGAAAAAAAAAACCATTTTTCTACACAGTACTTCCTCTCATTTCTCAAGTTCTCTTTTTAAAACAGTAGAAGAAGCAGTCCTTCCTTACTCCAAATCAAAAGGACCTTTTTTTTTTTGATGAGATGCCCTTTAAAGTAATTTAATAAGTATGCTTGTTTTTTTTAAAATACACAGAACGTTATAATTTTGTAAAGGTGAATTGTTAATATTAATTAATAGCTATTCTTCTTCAACTACTCTGGTTATTATATATTGAGGCATCAAAAGAACAAAGAAAATAAGAAAAAAGTTTTAACCCTTGTTACATAATGATATCACTGGAAAGAATCAAGTTAATGTAACTGGGATAAAAGGTCTCATTTAATAGCAAGTTCTACATATTCAAGCTGTAAAGTTCAATTGCTGCTACTCGTGCAGCACTTAACAGTTTATATGACTGAATTCCATAGTTAAGTCTTCCTTGTTTTTAAAATCAAATTTCCAAATAATTTTCATGGATTTGACTATGATTAGAAGCAAGAAATAGATTTCAAAGGGGAAGATTTGACTATAAAATCTTAAAATATAGGCATTTTCTACTCTGTGTCAGATTATCAGAAGAAAAAGTCCCATAAATTATTGGTGCACAGTGCATAGCACCCAGCTTTGAAAACTTTGTGTAATCAGAAAATTCAATTTAATTTTTTTGAGTCACCTGCTTCGTTTTCATTGCAAACCATTGAAAAGGGCTGAAAAAGTACTTTCATCTGGTTTAACTATTTGCGAATTCTCTCTCTTTTGGGGGGGTTTGAGACAGGGTTTCTCTGTTTAACATCTCTGGCTGTCCTGGAACTTACTTTGTAGACCAGGCTGGCTTCGAACTCAAAGAGATCCTCCTGCCTTTGCCTCCCGAGTGCTGGGATTAGAGGTGTGCGCCACCATTGGACATATTTGTGAATTCTTAGTAAGATCTGACAGGTACCAGGGACGAGGTTTGGGAAACTCTGGATGAAGGCTGCATTCAGCCAGCCTGCTCGAACTGTCCCTTGCACACAGCTGCAGATGTGCGTGCTCGCCCACTCCCCTCCTCTCCCTTCTGGAAAGGGGGAGCATCCTCGCAGCTTTGAGTGCAGCTCTCAACAGCAAAGACATTGAGCAATGCCTATTTCCAAATGCATGAGTCAACTCTCAGAATGAATTATTCATGCTCTGATGTCTCAACACGTTAGTGCTTCAGTGGCTTCAATCATGGTCAAACCAAAAGGCACACAGGCTGAATTTGAAACAGAATCAACCAGGGTCAAGTTTTGCTATTTCAAGTTTACACGTAGCTGTAGGGGAGAGGGTTGAAGTCAATCTTAAAGTTTGCATTCCTTTTTTCTGTCACACACCATCTGAAATAATTCCTACATGTTACATATCACTTAGGATTATGAGTAAATGGGCCCAATTTCTGAGGCTAAACACTGAGAATTTGTCTTTTAGACTGACTCTAATCAACAGCTTGTGACTTGGACTTCCCGCCTTCCTTATCCTGCATCTCTGCTTCCATTGTGCTACTTAATTCTGTTCCTTCTCTTCCCTATTCTTCTAAAGTGGAAAAGCAGCTCTCTTGAAAAACTCGAGAGAATGACATTGCTATTCTGGAGCCCAGAGGTTTGGCCCTCAGACAGGACCATGTGACAGAGGGCGAAGTGGGTGCTGCAGCTAGGAACCGGGAACTCTAAGGTACAGAGAGCACAGCTGGAAGCTGTCACTTGATTTGTTTGCTGTCTATCCATCCTAAGTACCATTAAGTAATAACAGGAGTGTAATTAGCTGAGCACCCAAAACACAACGTCAGTAAAGTGCAACAAGGACTGTGTGTGTTTCTATCTACAGGTGCTCCTTGTGTCCTACAGACACTCACAGGTGCTCCACGTGTCCTTCAGACACTCACAGGTACTCCTTGTGTCCTACAGACACTCACAGGTGCTCCATGTGTCCTATAGACACTCACAGGTGCTCCATGTGTCCTTCAGACACTCATAGGTGCTCCTTGTGTACCACGGACACTCACAGGTGCTCCATGTGTCCT